TTTTTAAAAAAAATATATGATATTTGACAGCTGTAGCAGCGCGTGTGCACACCACATTCGAAGAAATGTGGTTCTCTAGTTTTAGGGTGGTATATATTTCGCTTTAAATTAGTTCAAGGGGGTAATAGGACTCCCATAAAATATAAGTGTGTAGTTGAGAATTTGGTTATAGATTGAGGGGGAATTTGGCCATTTTCTCTTTAAAATATTATAAAAGTGAGTAAAATTCTTTAAAATAACTTGAAACATATTTTGAATTTTTCATAAAATTAGTTATTTCAAATCATTTGAAATTAAAGAAGCTCGAAAATTAATTCCCATCGTGGAGGTCCAAAATTGGATGTCAACAGTTGTGGCTTTAAGATACCGCATTATCCTCTTAACTGCCTTCCCATGTTCATGGTAAGTTCATGCATAAACTGTGATAGTTTGTTGACAGCATAAGAAATAGCAGGCTGTGTGAATGATAAATCTTGTAACTATTGGAAAACTATATGCACAACAGAAGCATATCAGAATGAATAATAGATAACCAATAATCGTTTATGCTAGAACACATAATCATGCTAGAACACATAAACTTGTTGAATTTAATTCAAGAATTACCTCTTGAAGCGTGAGCAGATACCTTCAAGCGAAATCCACAAATTAGATTTACCTTCAAGTGAATCCATATAATAGACAACAACTATGGTCTTCTACAGCAATCCCAAGTTCACATCCGAACTCTCTCAATACTTGGGTGCGCAAGTATAAATAGAAAACTAAATCATCACTTTTTTAGGTTAGGAGAATCCCTATTTATAGAGATTCCTTCCCAATCCAAAAAGGAGTAGAAAACATAGTTTTTCGAAAAACCCACATTATTCTTCCTTTTTTCATATAAATAGGATTCTGAGTTCTAGTTAAATATGAGCACTGTAGGGACCACATAATTAATTACTCAGGCCTTCTATTATGGAAATAATTTCAAATAATTAATTTGATCAATTATTCTTATCATAATAAATTACAAACCATTCCACTAGAAATTCGTAATTGCACTCCTCAATTTATATCTCAAAATTCCCATTAAACACTTGTGTAATTCCCATGTTAAGATTACATATACTAATCAATAAATTAAATTACTGATGAATTTAAATTAATGATTAATTTCCTTTAGAACACTACTTAACTTATTTCATATGTCGGATTCATAAATCCACTTGCAAGGTTTGACACGGTGAAAACTTGTAAGTTTCTCAAAAAGGCATATCAATCAATCTCTATAACGTGACATGGATTCCATCAACTAATTTATTATTTCACCATTATATATTATTATCATCCAATCTACCAAGCATATTGACCCATCTCAGAATCTCACATTTTAATAAATCAAAACGATAATTAATATATACAGATCATAATAGTTATATTAGGATTAAGTATATAAGTACATTTAATAGTTTAAAGAATATGTTTTTGTCAGCCAATCTAAATCAACTATCTCTACTCGGTCCCGTTCAATAAGTACAAAATGCACTAGCACAAGAAGTTGGAACTATACCGTTTCTATAATTAAGATAAATTACATATAATCTTGTGCTACAATCGTACTGATGACATGTCCAATTTCCATCCTAGATTGTGAACAGAAAACTTTATACTTATAAGAACCGATGATTTAATCATTTGTGTATAAGCTAAAACTCTACACACTAAATCATCTACCATATAAGTAAATAGACACCATAAACGAATATATGATATATTAAAACTGAATAGATATTTATTCTATAATAAATATTATATCTTAACATATGGTTAATAGTATATATCCCAACAATAACTTACCAAGGGTGCGCCTGTAGAATGTAGCATGAGTAGGCGGAGAACCATCAGCTGCCCGAGGTAGTTTACCTGAGCACATTGGAGTCAAGAGTACTCCTTTACAATCTTGCATATCCAATTCAGATAAAATATCATAAATGTATTTGGATTGAGAGAGAATAAGACCATCTGACGCTTTTTTTAACTTCGACACCCAAAAAGTAGTCTAAGTAACCAAGATTCTTCAAAGAAAACCGACTTTTATTCCATTTTGTGAAACACAACCCAAGTAGTGTTAACTGTCAAGGAAAAAATGGATAAATTCCCTTTCTTATTCCTCCTTTTAATTTGTTTCCACATTAATCTTTTTGCTACTTATTTTCCTCCTTATTAATCTGTTTTTGTATTTTGAATATATTATATTTTGGAATTACAAGAAAACAAAAATAAAAATAATAAAATAGTTTTTTTTTTTTAAAAAAAAAGTGAAATCACACATGACAATGTGTGTAGTAGTGTGTGTCACGTTTGATTTTCTTCAAAAGAAAACATTAATATATCTTCCATTTTGTGCTAAGTAGTGAATGTGTGTTGTGTAACACAGCCTTGTAATGTTGATTTGAAAGATTGACTCCTATTGACTTGGCTCTTAACTATATATAGAAAATTGATAGTAACATTTATTCTTTCTATTATGACTTTTATTTCGTTTTGTGAAACACAACCCAATTAGTGTTTTTTTTCTTTTTGCGTCTTTACTACGTCTTTACATTAATCTGTTTGTTACTTATTTTCCTCCTCCGTATGAATCCGTTTTCACATTTGGAAATTATAGTCTATACTTTTCAACATTTTATTTAGGGAAAATGCATAACTACCCCCCAGTCTATGCCCAAAATCCCTGAGATAGACCTAACCTTTATTAAGGTCCTATTACCCCCCGAACTTATTTTATATATAATTTTCTACCCCTTTTCGGCCTACGTGGCACTATCTTGTGGGCCCAGCGCGTGTTGACAATTTTTTCAAGGAAAGTGCCACGTAGGCCGAAAAGGGGTAGAAAATTATAATAATAAAATAAGTTCGGGGGGTAATAGGACCTTAATAAAGGTTAGGTCTATCTCAGGGATTTTGGGCATAGGCTGGGGGTACTTATGCATTTTCCCTTTTATTTATATATAGTGGAGTAACTTTGATCATTGGAATACAACACACACAAATTAATTCCCTTGGAACATTTTATATCATATGGAGAAGCACATTTTCTTTTTAATTCTTCTCTTTCTAATTCAATTTTCTATATCACTTGCTTCCTTTGATGAGACTGACCAACAAGCTCTATTAGCTTTCCAAAATCTTATTACAAGTCCCAATCATTTTTTGGCCAATAATTGGACCAAAATACTTCTTTTGCTCTTGGTTTGGTGTCACTTGCACTCCAAAAACGCAAAGGGACTATTCCCACTTCATTGGGAAATATTGATTGTTTATCCAAACTCGAGATGCTTTTTATTAGTGATAATCCAATAAAAGGGACTATTCCCACTTCATTGGGAAATATTTCCTCTCTGCATTATTTTAATTGTGGAAACAATCACATAGTGGAGCAAATTCCTCCAGAATTAGGAAAGCTATCAAATTTGAGGCAATTAATCTTAGACAATAATCATAATCTTATTGGTCAAATTCCAGAGGCTATTTTCAACATATCTTCTTTGGAAGTGATTGGTTTCAATATCAATAACCTCTCGGGGAGAATTCCAACCACTACAGGTCTTCACTTGGGAGGTAATCAGCTTGAAGGGGAAATTCCATTGTTCATAACAAATGCTTCCGAGCTTCAGATAATATCGCTAGATGATAACTCTCTCACAGAAACTATTCCTAACAATTTGGGAAATCTTCGTGAGCTGCAAATACTACTTCTACATACTAATCAACTTACCAATGAACCAAGAGAGCGTGAGTTGTTATTCTTCAATTCTTTAGCGGACTATAGGATGTTCTGTCATGCCCCGAGCCTACACCCTGGGCGGGACCGGCACCTGGAGACCATTTCTGGCCCTAAGTGAACCTTTGGCCTGGCTTTCTTAACTCAGCGGAAACCTAACTCAACAGAATAACTCAATGCAAATGCAAGGTTACAAAACAACTTAACTTATAAAATTTGGCCACAAAGGCAACTCGAATCTCAAAATAGAATATTTACATATATACATAGATAAGAGACTCAAAACTAACTGACTGACTGACTGTCTATTGAAGCCTCTAATATACTGAGATGGATGTGGGGACAGACCCCGC